ACGGGTCCGGGTCCAAAAATTTTACTTTGACCGGGTCCGGGTCCAAAAATTTTATTTTGACCGGGTCCGGGTCCGGGTCTGAAAATTTTGCTTTAACCGGATCCAGGTCTGAAGAAAACTTTGATCCATACAATTTATTTTGAATTTTTTTAAAGTTTTGTTCGTTTTATACAAAGAAGAGATCAGATGTATTTAGAAAATAGATAAAAAACAACAAACCCTTCTTGACTATACTATCTAAACTGACTTGTCATTGTGTTTGGATCCAAAAAACTTAAGCGACCGGGTCCGGGTCCGGGTCCAGCAACCTGTAAAGGGGTCCGGGTAGAAAAATTTTAAATGATCGGGTCCGGGTCCAAAATCCTGGGCCAGGGTCCGGGTCCAAAAATTCTGGACCCGACGGGCTCTAATCGTGAAAGTCTTCACACAAAATATTCTCTCATTGTTCGAACTACTAAAAGATTACGACTGATTAAATCTGAATACAATTAGTTAGAATAAGAATTTTTGACTAATTTTAGTGTAGTTCTTATTTTCTGTCTTAAAACAACTTTTTTCTCTTTGAGTTTTTTTATGTTCGTTTAAAAAACCATCAAAACTAACTACTTTTATTAGTGAAGATAAAAAAAAAGTATCATTTTTATTCATGTTGTATGTAGAACAATATTAAAAAGGAAATTTTTTGAACATTTCACAGATGAAAAAGCTATATTTATAGATGAGATGTGAATATGTTCAAGCGAAGAACACATTTTCAGAAATGCGTCTTTACTCAGGTAGTCAATGTTTTTTGTTTTATATCCTTGATATTTGAATTAATTGCGCATTCTATTTTCGACGTTTAAAAACAGAAAAATATTGTTAAATTTAGATTAAAAATCGAAAATGAAAAAGGTATTGATATTGGTTATTGGGAATCATTATTATCTCAATTACAAGCACATATGGCTCGTGCACGTCTTCGTGATCGTCATCAATTAACATTAAAAAGAAAATTACAAAAAATAAAACAAGAACAAGGTATATTTCATGCACCTACATCAATATCATTAAAAAATTCTTCAACAATAACAAAAAAGAAAGATAATGAAAATAATACAAATAATCAATTAAATATATTTAATGATAATGATATTGAATCAAATGAAGATTTAGAAAATAAATGTTTACGTGAATATGAACATGGTCGTTATTCACCTATATTAGTTAATATAAATGATCTTGATTTGGAAATTCAAAAACGTTGTACTGATGAAATAGATGATTGGGAAAAATTAAAACAACAACGTGAATCTGTTATTAAATCTGGATCAGTTAAACCTGATGTTGAAGATGCATTTGAAGCTTTTGCTCGAAGTATGGGAAGCTTAACAGATGATGATTCACTTATTAATACTGTTGTACCTATGGATGTTCAATATTTATGGTCAGATAAATATCGACCACGTAAACCTCGGGTTTTTAATAAAGTTCATACTGTATGTATTTACATTTTAATTTTAAAATAAAATAATTTTTATTTTTCTAGGGTTATGATTGGAATCAATATAATAAAAAACATTATGATACAGATAATCCACCACCGAAAACTGTTCAAGGATATAAATTTAATGTAAGATATTTTTTAATTAGCTAACAACTGTTCAAAAAGTCATTCGTCTTTTCTTTTTCTTGAGTTTAACACGTCAATGAATTCGAAAATTTTTGATGATCGAAATTTTAAATTTAAAAGAAATAAATATCATATTTAGAATTAGTGTAAAAGTCTCTATTCATTTTTATTCTAATTGTATGACAAGTAAAAATTAAGAAAAAGTCGAATAAATATTGAGGCCATCGAAGAAGAAAAAAAGAAAAATTTGACTTAAACTTCAATGTTATCATTAGTTGAGAATTTATATAAAATTTTGAATTTACTTTTAGATATTCTATCCTGATTTAATTGATAAAACAAAAACACCATCGTATAGTCTTGTAAGTATTTTTATTTGTTTTCACATTTGAATTCTAATATTTTCTTTTATAAAGACTGTTTGTGAAGATAATCGTGATTTCTCAATTCTTAAATTTCATGCTGGACCACCATATGAAGTAAAATAAAAATAAACATTTAAAATAAATATTTATTTTCTATGATTTTCTTTTTTAAGGATATTGCATTCAAAATAGTTAGTAAAGAATGGGATTATTCATATAAACATGGATTTCGATGTCATTTTCAAAATGGAATATTTCAATTATGGTTTCATTTTCGTAAATGGAAATATCGTCGATAAACAATGTTTTTCTTCTTTTTCTGTTGTCTTGCTTTATTATTTTCATATGTAAAATAAATTCTTGTATGATCGAAAGTTTCAATATATTAAATCTTGATGGAAATTATATGACTACCATCTACTATTTTCATTTCAATCTCTTTTTTTCTTCTCATCAATGATATTTTCTTTCTAGATTAATTACATTATATCATATTAAATATAATCAGAAAAATTTATTAATTCATATCTTTATTAGAACAAGAATCTGTTAAGAAAAATCATCGAATTATAATTTGAGATGTAAGCCAAAGGGTAAAACAGCGGCAGTGCGTCTTAGACTATTATCAAAAATTTTCGTTTATGACGGCGGCGCAGCAGTGGCTCCTAAAAAAATTTTAAAATTATCTATGATTCCATGGCGGCGGTGGCCCAGCTGTACGGCTTACACCTCTAATTATGATTGAATGTTTGTTTTTCGAATATTCGTTGCGATAGTTTTTTTAAATATTTTCCTGAAAGAATATGATTTAGACTTGACTATTTTCTAACGAATCATTAATATTACATGATACCAAATTATCTTCAATCAGATGTAACATATTGAAATTTTCCATATATATTTTTTTTGTTTACAATAAGTAATGAGAATAAGATTATGATAATGAAGCTAATCATTTTATTACATTTATATTATTAGTGTTGAATTATTTCAAAAAATATATCGATCTGTAAGATGATGTAAATATTCTGAATGACTGTCTTCTTTTGATGAAACGAATGTATTTTCATATACTATGGGTAAAACTTTTCTAATTATCTTGATACATGGCAATTCATGAGCAGCATCACCTGAATACATCAACAATGAACTATGTATATATATATATAAAGCAGAAAAATACAATAATTTTATATCTAATCAATGATCAGTGTAACGTTCGATAAAAAAAAAATCAAGCAATATATTTAATTGTTGGAGAATTTTAACCAGCGAAATTTCGATGATTTTTTTACAGCAGATATTTGTTCTAATAACTCTGCGAAGTTTGGAAATTTTAGAAAAAAATATTATTTAAAAGTAATTTTATCATTTTAGTCAGAAATCTATATTTTAGATAGAAAACAAAAAAAGAAAGAAAATGGTCTGTGTACCGTGCATTTTTGTTGGTTTAGCTATTGTTATTTGGTGTAAATTTCTTGAACCTTATATAAAACCAATTTATGATAGACTTTGTCAATATTATCCACCATTAAAAATAGTTGGTGATCAAATAGGAGTTTGGGCTGAGAAAATCGAAAAATTTGGAGAAAAAATTGGTATTCGTATGCCTCAATCATGTCCAATGCCAAAGAAAAACAATAATGCTTCAAAAGTAAAAATAACAAAATATTATTTTTTTAGATAAAAATAAAAAGAAAATTTTCGATTTTTTGTTTTTAGTCTCCAAGTGACAATAGTAATAAATTATATCCTGATTTAAAATCAACAACGACTGATGATACGGATGTTCATCATCGATCAGTACCATCGGCTCCTTCACAATTGCATAATGAATAAAAGATCATTATCGAACAAACACAACACATAATATTATTTTCGCCATCCTTTTTTTTGTTTTCTTTTTTTTTCTAGCAATTAAACCAAATCTGTTTGTCGTCAATGTTATGTTGAGTCTTTTATCGTGCATTCGAATAAATATTGTCTTAACAAGATTTTATGAGAAAACTTAAATAAGTTTTTAAATTATAATTGAAAAAGAAAATTTCGAGTTATAGTTTCAATATTTTATAGACTCAAAAACAAAAAAAAATTCATTTCTGCATTTATCATAACAATATTTAATAAATTTATATAGATAATAAACAGTATCTCGTATGCATTCAAATATACTCAAGCTATAAAAATCATAATAGGTTAATATATATTTGCTGCAATGTTATCCATCGGTATATCACATTGTATTGTACAGTGTATGTACAGGTAGATCGATGCAATTGATCACTTTTTCACGTTAACATGTACATCACAACACAATCACATCTACATTCCTACCCTTTTTGGTAACGAGTTTTACATAAAAAACGAATATTGATATTCTAGTTTGAAACTCTACTAAATTTTTCCAACTAAATGAATAACGATAATAACTTATTTTCAGTTTTCTAGTCGTATACTATGGGAAATAGTGTGTCAAGCGACAGAAGTGCGGATGTTTTGGGTGAGGAGAGGGTCTACGACAGTACTCCACGCTCACATCTGTATTTAAAATACAGGAAAATACGTAATTCTCAGTGTCTGACGAGAATAAAACATTCTATATCGTATGTATATTTCAAGTCTAAAACAATCAGACACTCAAGTATTTCAGAATTATCAGGCACACCGTA